CACTAAGATCCCTTATGAACAAACCCCCAACAACTTTTCCCTTAATTCTGTTGGTAAAAATGTTGTCAATTAATGTTGCCGTTTCTGATGTCTGTCATATGGTGAGAGACCGGGAGCTGCACAGTGCTGCCCTCTGCTGTCCTTGTGTTGTCATTTGACTGAGAAATAAAACACGGAAGTAACTCATCTTAGACATTTAGATACAAAATGGTTGGTTTATTACAGTTGTGGTAAACAACACAGACTGCTTTTCTGTTAAACTATTTGAACAACACATGAGCTTCTGTGCAAGACCTTTTGTATAATGTCTTTGTAAATATTTTGAATTGTAAATGGGATGTTTGAATATTCTGATGACAACAAAACAAACTTCCACACAGGTGATTTATTTTTATTTTTTATTAAAAACACTATGAAATTGATCACCAGTGACTGAAATTCATTGACACAAATATTCAAACTTTTGTGCTTTTTCATGGTAAAATCCCAAATCCGATGACACAAAAACTCTTCCATAGGCCTCTGGTAGTTGTGTGTTTTGTGTGTTTTATGGATTGAAGATTAGAATGATAAAACATTATTTTCTTACTTGGATATTTAAACGTATTGTATCTTCTTCTGTTTATTCGTGACCAAAACAGTGACAGATGCTCAAAACATACTGCAGGTTTGTTCAGCCTGATATGGAGCAGGTGGTTTCCATAGTGACCTTTATAACTTCCTGTTCTGCAGGATTCTAAATGACACAATATTTATCTAATATTTTATGCCTGTGACTTTGGGCAGCTGGGGTTGTTGTAAATGTGCGATACAAAAAAGCTGACATCGACAATGACAAAGAAAAAACAAATTCAGGTGAAATTCAGAACATTTAAATATTGTTTAAAAGTCTATATCTTTATATCTTATATATATATATAAGATATAAAGATATAGACTAGAACTGTTGACTTTTGAACAATATTCTAGTTTCTTGAGTTTCACCGATGTTAATTAGGCCTTGAACTGTATCTGCTTTCAGTAAGACTCAGTAACACATTTCATATAAAATCTATTTCCTTAGTTCAATAAATAAGATTAAAAAAAACCTTCATAACATATATAATAATTTATTAAGTTAAACATAAAACATATCAAAGTTTTTTCCAGGTGATGCAGCATCCGGTGCTTAATATAAGCAATTATGTAACAAGCTGTATACAAATACATGTGTAAGTGTATTTGAATGTCGAAAGCCTGATCCCATCAGATCTCAGAAGTTAAGCTGGACAGAGCCTGGTTAGTCCTGTGATGGGAGAAATATGGAACATCTGCAAAACCCTCATTGTCTCTCGTGTGTGTGTGTGTGTGTGTGTGTGTGTGTGTGTGTGTGTGTGTGTGTGTGTGTGTGTGTGTGTGTGTGTGTGTGTGTGTGTGTGTGTGTGTGTGTGCGTGCGTGTCCACATAGTCATACAAAACAATGCAAAATAGAAATGTATAAGTTTCATAAAGCAGGGAGGAAAATATTCATTCAGTCATTGATATTTTCATATTTACACTGAGTTGTAACATTTAACATTTAGCACGTTGTTTTAAGCTTGATATCTAACCTTTAGTCCTCCGCTGTATTACACAGACACACACAAAAGCAGCAGCAACACCCACAAAAAAACCAGGCACAAGGAAAATAGGATCTCTGCTGATTTTAAAGGGAGAATCAGGACAGGAGATAGGAGGAGCTGGCTCTGTGGGAGGACAACACTAGAGTTACGTTTCTGTGAAGACAATTCTCAAATCATGATATTCGACAATATTCGCTAAAAAGAACTTTCTGACATAAGTACAATGTGACGGGTTCAAAAATAATACTATGGTTTATTCCACTAGAGTACAATACAAACTGCTAAATATACACTTTAAAGTACAATACAAACATCTCCAGAGTTGTGTGTTGTGCAGCTAAGGGCTTTATTATTATCCATTTCATTTTTTCAACATTGACTTCAAAAATTGCTTCATAAAGTTGCATTGGCGGCTTCCCTTCAAATGAAATAAAATTCTAAAATGCAGGAACACAACCAGGAGGCATTGTTAAATATCAAAGATTTCAGTGAGCGATGCATAATGAGCTCAAAGAGACAAGATGTTGGTTAAAACTGAATATATTCCCTCACCTTCACACGTGATGGAGATCGTACTCGTGGAGTTGTCTGAGTTTTTCCTGGAGACGCAGGTAAAGTTGAGGCCGGTGTGAGTTTTGTTGAGAACGGCCATGAGGGTGTCTCCGTCGTGTCCTAAGGTTCGAAGGTGCGGGTCCGATTCCCAGGACAGGGACACTCCGGGGTCCGACGAGGAGCAGTTCAGAGCCAACAGACAGATGTCCCCTGCTGCTGCCACCGCTTTCCGGATCAAGGGCTGATTTAAACGCTCTGAAAAAAAAAAAAACAGGAAGTCACAAACTATGAATTTTCTTTGGCTCATGGTGCAGATACCAAGAAAAACAATGTTATGGATTAAATGACAGAAGAGAGCATGGTTTTGTTTATAGCTGGGGTATTTTCACTTTTTTGTTCCATTTGGAAGCCCGCTGACTGTACAGAAAATCCTCCCATAGCTTCCTACAGACCACTGTGATGGAAAGTAAAGGCACCAGGCTGACCCCTCACACAGCCGCTGGTCACCACAAGATAAAACATGCAAAAATAAGCAGTATTAATATGAACCGGTATGTATTAACGGCTAGCGCGAGGTCTGTACCGAGAAATTTCAGACTGCGGTCTTTTTGTACAGACCAAGCCGTGGACAGGTCTGTGTAAAAAGACCAAGAAAAGCGAGGTTAATAAATGTTTTATTATATGACTATTTTTAATTTGTGCAAATATCGATTGGTTTCAACTAGCAAAAACACATGCAACCAAACTGTCAAACCGAGGTGAAGTTGGCCGAACGTTTGATATTCGCCTGATATTCGCAAGGGACCGTCTGCAAATTGCAAGAGTTCAAAACGACTAATAAAGACTAAAAATCAACAAAGATATTTTTTCCCAGAATTGATGGGTGTAGTAGCTCCATTTAATGATAGCTAGCTACTACAGCCAAACTTTTGGGAAAAATATGGTTTTCCCCTTCACAGTAACGAAAATGAAATTACAAAAAAATACTAAAAATCAACAAAGACAGTTTTCCCAGTTTTGATGGGTGTAGTAGCTCCATTTGAGCAATAGCTAGCTACTACAGGCAAGAATTTGGGAAAAATATGGTTTTCCCCTTCACAGTAACGAAAATGAAATTGGAAAAATTCACTAAAAATCAACAACGACTTTTTCCCCCAGTTTTGATGGGTGTAGTAGCTCCATTTGAGCAATAGCTAGCTACTAGAGGCAAGAATTTGGGAAAAATATCTTTGTCGATTTTTAGTAAATTTTTCATTTTCGTTACTGTGAAGGGGAAAACAATATTTTTCCCAAATTTTTGCCTGTAGTAGCTAGCTATCATTGAATGGGAGCTACTACACCCATCAAATCTGGGGAAAAAGTCGTTGTTGATTTTTAGTGAATTTTTCCAATTTCATTTTCGTTACTGTGAAGGGGAAAACCATATTTTCCTAAATTCTTGCCTGTAGTAGCTAGCTATTGCTCAAATTGTTAGTATGTGTTAGTATGTATTAGTATGTATTAGTATGTATTAGTTTGTATTAAGCAAACTAATACATACAGGGGGGAGGAAAAAATAAAATGTGTCTTGTTATGCCGAACATATTATGGGGAAGAAAGTGTGAACTAATGAAGATGACACAACAAAGTCAATAAATGTAAAAAAAATAAAAATGAAAAAAAAAAGTGTAAAATTATGCTCAAATAAAATTAAAAACCAAAAAGTGGCGGCTAAGATTAGAATCAGCCTACAGGAGTGCCTTCGACCAATCAGAGGATTTCGTCTAATTAAACATAAATACTTATATTCATGCCCATGTTTTGGTTGTGTTTTGACCTAAATCTGTCTCTGTTCCTCTCAAAGAAACAGACAGAAATGTGCTGAATACTTACGTTTTATTCGAAGTTGGATTGTGTTGACTTTATTCTTCCGTTCAGTGTTGAAGAAATCAACAGTGTATTTCATCTCATCTGCGCTGCTCACGTTCGTTATCGTCAAGTCTCCTGAGAACAGAACAAGACCAGAGATTACTCCTCTTCCTCTTCCTCTGAAAGAAAAACTGTTGATATTTATGTTTATCTTCTTCTCTTCTTCAGATCGGTCAGAACCATAGACTGTATGTCAGAACTCATGCGGCACAATTTAGGTTGTGCACTGTCAGTTTGGACGATTTTAAGAACTTGTCTAGAGGCTAAACTAGACAAGTTCTTAAAATAAAACAAGCTAAAAAAATACCCCACATACCATTAGTTTTAACATAAAATCAACAAGTGAATATCAGAAATGCAGCTTTAACCTGTGACAATGCAATTTCCCTTGTGGATCAACAAAGTCTGTCTAAGTCTGAGTCTAAGATTGATTAATGAGATGTAATCACACCATCTCCACCGTTAAAACTAATGGTCCTTCTGTGGGCTTCTTCAAAATGTGAAAAAACGCATTTGCGCATGCGTAAACCGGCCCCAGCCCCTTTGTTTTAACCAGTGCATTCACAAGTCCACAGAGGCTAAACTAGACTGATCCAAAAAATATATATACTGCCCTCAGCATGGACATACATCTGGACCGTAGCGTTGGGCCAAGAGCCGACTTTTAGACCATTCTGTAAAGTCGTTTTTGAGAGAAGGAGAAAAGCATTGGGTAATTCTCTTTCTGGGTACACCCCACCAGCCCGGGGAGAGATCATGGACCTTTTTGAGCCGGGACCCGCCCCCACTGGTGTGAACAATCTTAAAGGCGGGGTACCTAACTTTTATCAGACCACAACACTTTTTTTTAATCTTTTGTCTGTAGCACTGTTGAATGCTTTGGGGCAGAGAGATGATTGGCTGAGTGAGGGTGGGCCTCTCCTTTTTCACTTTTCTGTCTGAAAAAGTTGATCTAAAGATGTGACAGAGACCAAACTAACGTTAAATGCAGACAAAGAGTTGGACCTGCAGTCACTGAACCCTCCTCTTCTGATGCATAGGACACAGATCTCAAAACATACAAGACCAAGAAAAATATGTGTTTATACAAGTACTATCTGGGTACATGTATACATTAATACTATTATAATGATGTTACTGTGGGGTAGTATTCGTCCTGTGTGAAGGAGAGCTTTGGCAGGTCTTTCCTTCCTGCTGCTGTCAGACTGTACAATGAGAACTGCTGAGCCTGTACATGTCATTTCATCTGGAAATAGTAAATACTGCATACATGTGCAATACTGCAATTTCAAAATGTCCACCGAATGTCACTTTATCTTCTCATCTGTTTATATGTTTCTGTATGTGTTGTGCTCTGTCTACTGTCCTGCAACACTGACATTTCCCCACTGTGAGACACATAAAGGTCAGGTACCCCAGCTTTAATTTAAATGCTACTACCTGTGACTTCATTCAGCTGAAGTCTCCCCCTGTATTTATAAAAGAGGTTTGTATTGGTCCTTTTATCATCATATTTGGCGATCCATGTGGTGTTGGGCCATATCGACCAGGTGATGGCTGAAAGATTCCACAGTGGATCTGCTCCTGAAAGCAGCGTGACAGAGTCCCCCGCATAAGCAGACAGAGGGGGCCGGTTGTCTGCAGCCACTGAAAAAAAAACACAAAACCGTTGTAAAACCATAAAGCAGCTGCAGATAAGAGGAGAGACCGTTTTTACTGTTACATCGGCGCCAGATTACTACAACTAATGTTATGACTGTTAAAAATGTCAGAGGGACTTTTTATATTTCTGCTAATTTTTACAAGATACACAAATGTATTTGCCATTTGCAGTAAAACCAAATCGTAAAAATTGTGCAAGACCCTTATCAATTCTTATAGCTAAACATAAGGTTATATATATATATAACTCCTGGAAATGTTAAAGATTAAAATAAAAACGTCTCTCTCTTGTTTAAAGTCAAATCAAATCAAACCTGGGGCATTTGAACCCAACGCTCACAAAAAATACATGCAATCAAGTTTATTTATAAAGCGCCATTCATGCAGCGCAATCTCAAAGTGCTTTACAAAGACATGCAAGCATTTACATTTGCAAAAAGAATAAACTTTGAGTATTGTCTAGAAATGTCTAAAAAGTGAATAGGGATTTGACGTGTATTCAGCTTTGTTCTTGATCACAGGTCCCTACATGTCGTCTCTTGTGACATTTGACTAATTCTATGTTTACCGTGGAAAATGTAGGCGGATATTGAGTTTGATCTTTCACTGTACAGACATTGTTCCCATTTGTAATTAGAATAAGTGGTAAATGAGTCATCCGAGGTCAAATCTACAGGGCGCACACAGACTCCTGCCATCTGTGTGCGCTCCTAATGGTTCCCAGACAGATTTATTTGTGTGTTTTAGAGAAATATTTGTGGTGTATAGTCGGAGAATACACGTTAATCTCATCTAAAAATCACAAATACCAGTAGCCAGAAATGCACATTCATGAAAATAAGCTGTTTTGTAAGCTTGTTTTTGTATTTGCCTTTATATACAGTATTTATCTATTGATTCACTATGTAACTTACAAGCAGCTGTTGTGCTATAGTTGGAATCCACAATATTAAACAAAAATATATCAAAATATCTTTTTATTCTTCCACAAACGTAGGTGTAGAAACTATGATGGTGAATTGTGTTAATGAAGCGCTAAAAACATTTGTAATTGAATATAAAAGTAGTTTATTAGAGATTGGGACACATGCTTTTAAAACAATACAGCTGCCACTACTTCAGACAGGGACCACTCATTTTGGTCGAGGGCCAAATTTAAAAACAAAAGAGCTGATCGGGGCCAGTGGTGAATGAGTGGAAGTGTTTTTACATATTTTTAAAAAACCTGTATTTGACATGACTTTGAATATTATTTTAGAAGAGATACAATTCCATGGTTGTGTGCCTGAGACAATAGGCAATCAAATTAAACATGCCACAGAAGTATGCTACAACTTACTGCGAGAAAGATCATTCAAAATAACTTCAAGGGCCACTTGGAATTGTCTCAGGGGCCGGATTTTGGCCCTTGAGCCAGAGTTTGACTTGCCTGACTTAAACTGTGACATTTTCCGCACATTTTTCATAGTTTTGAAATATTAGACGAATATTAGACACAAACATGACGACATAATGTTCTTTTTTTTTTTTTACCATAAAGCAGGTGTCTCCATCCTCCCACAGTGGACAAAAATATGAGTCAGATGCAATACAAAAAAAGGAAGTAAAAACTGTATAGAAGTGCCCCGCTGTGTGTGTGTCCCTAATCATAACTTCTATATTTCTGTTATTCATTCATTAATGCACATTTTGAATACAGAAATGTCTAAATTCTTGCTTTTTGAAAGAGGTTACAGCAAGCTCTGAGCAGCTCTGGAGATAGATATTGGAAATCTGCTGCGAAAAGATGAGAAATGAAACCGTTCAAAACGTTTTTAACATTTTGTAACTTCTGCTTTAACCGCAAACACAAAAAACTTGAATTTACTTTCAAGAGCTTTGGCTTGATTTTTTTGATTTACTGATTATGGGAGAAATACATTACACAATTGTAGAATGTTGAACCTTGTAGAAGTCTGACTTGTAAATAAATGATTTTTACTTTTTCTTCTCTGTTTTTCTGACATTTTGAATTAGGAAGCGCTCGCCCATCACGTAAATTCACAATTGTTTATATTTGACTGGTTTAGTTCCACACATTTCAACAGGTTTCACACAAATGACTCCAGATTTCAGACATAAAACTTGAAGTAGAAACCAGACATAACCAAACATGTAAGAAGTCTATGTTTTTATTCTGTCTGAATAAAATACTGTATGTAATAATGTGTACATAGATTCTCTTTTTCCATCGCACAACACAATGGACAAATGTGATCTAGAATATTTAACTGGTTTGAAGACATTTCTTAAATATAACTATAGCTGTAGCTTGAAAGAAGACGATACAGTTGCCAATGAGCGGGTCTTGCTTTGAACAAAGTGATGGAAACAGTCAGAAAAGTAAAATCAAGTTTCAGCAAAAAAACATACATAAACTGGTGAAAAACTGGAAGTCAGATCGTTCGAAGACTGTTTGCGGTATGTTGCATGTGATGTGACTTCTTCTACACCCTGTGCCTGTGTTTTGATGATTTGTTTGTAAGTGAAAATAAAAATGAAGTCGTACCTCTGAGCAGGAGCGCAGGCAGAAGCAGCAGGTGCATTTCTCTGTCAGTCACAGTGTCTTCCTGGTTTTGTATTTGACTAAGGAAAGGACATTTGTTTAACATTCAAATACCATTTATAGGAAACAAGAACAACAAAAAAGAGGAAAGGCTCGAGTGGGTGGTGACTATAAGCACGGAAATATGTCACAGGCATATTTCATATAGGGTTAGATGCATGGTGGGGAATAACGGAATACAGTCTAGCATTTAGAATAGTTCCATACTAAAAATTACAAGATTACATACTTTTTAACTTTACTTAATACAAGTGCACGGAAGTTTTCAGAATTTTACGTTTTCATGACCAAAACACTGATGTTATGCGAGAAAAGGCGATCCCGAAAAACCCGGAAGTAGATACCGGCACATTTTCGGACACATTTGCAGAGGATCGCAATATGGATTTAGGTTAGGTTTATGTATGGGTCACTCACCGCTGATGTTCACAATTCTTTGTTCAGTTTTCATGCAGTTCCAGAGAGTTCTAGTTTGGAAGTTGCCAGCCTAACTGTTGCTAGCATAGCCACGGGAAAGCCTTTGGGAACTATTTTATTTTCTGTCATTAAATAAACCTTTCAGCATTCCTAAAAGTGGACTGAAGTTTATGTTGTGTGTTCTGTTGGTATAAAGCCGTATAATAAGCGGGATAACGTATATTACGCAGGTCATTATCGGAAAATAAGTACCGACAGGGCGAAGCGGACCCCGACGCGCAGTAATATAAGCTACGTTATCCCTTACATATTTGAGATTAAAAAAAGAAAATATTTTGAAAGTGAAGATTCTGTTTTTTCTGGCAGCTGTTGAAGCACTTTGAATTCTACACAATATACATTTAGGTCATGTATTCAGTACATTTTCAAAGTATTCTCAACGCTGTCTGTGGAGGTGATGCTCATAACATTGTGGACTAGAATTCAGTCAAAATTAAATTGAAACCAGTGACGTGCGGTGAGGTTGGTGAGGCACTGACATCAGCCCAATCAGATGAACATATATCATATAACGCTACATCAACAGGACCTACAGAGCGGCTTATTCACATTTTGTTTGGCTACAGCAGAATATGTTTCATGTCTGCATTGTTTTCTCATACAAAACGCAAAAGTTGGTAAAAAGCACATTAAAAGTGTGTTATGGTCTTACCTTATAAATAGACCAGTTCAGTTCAGACCGGTTTCATGTTTAAGTCCAGATAATAGTTTGAGCGTAGATATGTAATCCTCCATTTGGAACTAAGTCCAATGAGTTTTAAAAAGTAAAACAAAACGAGTGTCTCCTCCATAAACTCCTCTGAGTTTTCGCTAGCTGCCGGTAGCAGACTCTCGGGTGCATACAATTTCTGAAATCAACCTTACCCTTCACCTCTCTGTCTTATCATTCCTATCGTCATCATCTTAAAATGTGTTATATATATGTTAGCCAAACCTGTAACTGCCCTTAGCACAGGAAGAACAAGAAAGGAGCTTTCAGATGAAATTGGATGCAGCCGAATTCTGAGGCTGGCCTCAGTTGGTGACATTACAAGCCGTGGTTTGAGCGCGATTAAGACCCATATTTGTTGTCAAAACACAATTTATGACTCATCCTCTCAACTGTAAACATGTTGATTGTAAAGGAAGAATGTTTGAACTTTGTAAACAGAAAACATTGCGATAGCAGCGCACGGGCCGCTCCCACAGTGAGCTGTGGCTTTTACGTCTCCCAAGAGAGGCTCGGGCTCGCCTCACAGCGCGCCGCTCTGTCAGAGAAAATATGACGAAAACCTGCAATTTCTAGGTAAAAATTAATTAAATAAGGCTAAGTTACATTTATTTTTCTTTCCATAATCTTAGGTGAGGCCAGGCCTCAATGTTGTGATTGGTTTGTTTGCCTCATCTGACCACACGTCACTGATTGAAATACAGTATGACTGAGTGGATAAAACACAAAAGTCAAGGCTTCTATAAGGCCTTGAATTGGGTTCCATCATATTGATATTGTTTTGAAGTCGTCCCAGTTAAAGCAGCGCTCACCGTCCCATTTCTCGAGATCTTCCATTAGAGCTCCATCCCCCTCTGTCGTTAGTTTTCATATTTATAGTTCAGTTGTTTAGAAGAAGGTCCTTTATTCGTCTCACAATTGGGAAATTTCAGTTTGATGCATACACACACGCTTTAAACGTATAAACTGTAAAAGCAATAGATCCAACCATTTCTCTAAAGTGGATAAATTACAGTATACCAAGGTCTCCTTGTCTATTCCACTCAAGAATAAAGAGGCGAGGAGCTGTTTAACCCACAGGGCACAAAAAGCATTTAATAAAAACACAATTTCAGTGTAAACAGTATAAAACATTTTTAGAAACAACGTAAAATCAGTAAAATAAATGAAAAAAGTTTCTGAAAAAAACAAAAAACAGTGTAACAATCATCACTCTAAAAATCACTTCTACGGCACATGTGTGAAGTCCAGTTATGGCAATTTACAATCAAAAATAGTTTCTGTAGCAAAACCACGAGTTTAGTGATACTTTGTGACAAGAAATAGTTAATAGAATAAAACAAAGCTTATGGAGGCAGCTGCTTAAATAGGAAACCTTCATTGTCATTAACTATACAATCAAACACATCATTGATAATAAAAAGGACCGTTTTCTCAAATGATCAAAACTTAGAACCACAAAAAAGGCAAAAAGGCAAGAGTTGTGTACATTTCTCTCAGACCAGTTTTTTTAACCTGACATTCCAACTGTTCGTACGCACTATTGTGTCTTTTCAGCGGATTTGTTCTCCGCTTGTTTTGCTTTTGTCAACCAACTTTGATTTCAAATATTTCTAAATGACAATATTTTTAGTTGCTAATAATATCGTACTGCTATCCCAAGTGTTGTCTTTGTTGTCGTAAAGATCGTAAAGGACAAAGTTATATGCATTTTTTATATTGTGATGTGCAGGTTTTTATTATTGTACTTGCATATGTATTGTATGTTTGTATTTTCATTAATAAAAACAGTATGAAAACTATGAGACAACACAAGGCACCATCTACAGTTTGCCATATTCAGGACCCAGGTTAGCGTCAGTATGAAGGCCCCCCTCGTCCCGGTTTAAGGTCCAACTGTCAGGTAAAAAAGCCTACTCATGTCTGAGAAAAATAATGGCTTTATTACAATTAATCATAAGACCAACGAACCGCATTGGACTTTAAACTTTAATTTTATTCAACTTTGAGGACAATATTTTTGCTTTTCCTCCTCAAGTCATAATTCTCAACCTTTTGAAATGATAGTGAAACTGGGTCACCACATATAAATTCATATCCAGAGAAAAAAGTAGTGTAACAATAGTATCGTCAGTCTGTAGTGTTCTTTATCTACTATTCTAATCTGAAAGACGCAGTAAAAGCCTTGTTCCCATTCGTTTTTAAAAAGATCGGTCCAATTCAAAAGTGATTTCATTATCGAGGCACAGACAAAATGGCTCCTCATAATAATCTAATAAACAGACCGCCTAGAGCCATGAGAACAAATATACAGACAAGTAGGTGACATAGTGCAACTTTAAAGGCCATGTACCTGTTATTTCTACACAAAGATATGTTGTAAAGCAGCTATTTATGTCAAAATGTGATCGGCATTCTGCTCTAAAACCATACTGGAGAGCGCTTTATTTTCACAGGAACAGGAAATGAACTGCTAATATGCTAGCTCTGGTTAGCAGCAGGCCTAACACTGGTCTGCTAAATCTGTGTATAGTGTTTAGAAATGGCTTGTCTCATTTCCTGTAAAAGTATGATGTCATTGTACCACTATGACATCACACTTAAGAGTATTGCCCATAAATTAGTTTTGGCATTTTCTCAGGTGAAATTATATGCAAGGCTGTGTTGGCATCCAATAACTTTCAAGTATGGATACAAAACAAACTCAACTCCTCCCTCTGGTGGTAGCATAGGGAATAACAGGTAGAAAGTATTTGATTCACCATATATTTTGCTCTTAAAGGAATAGTTCACCGTTTTTACATACTGACATATGTTCTTACCTTACCTTAGACTAGTTAATATGTACCTGTCTGGTCTTAGTCCGTGCGCTCTGTCATGCAAACGGAGCAAAAACGGGAGCACAAACGCAGCCTCCTCTGTATACTGTATAGTACCCAAAGTATAGTAACACAGAAATGTAACTGTCGATTTTCTCAGCGCACTAACTTCTCTCCGGAGACTTCCCTCTACTACTGTGTGTACTACAAGTCACGCTGCTTCTATTGACGGAAGTGAGCCACAGAGAAGTCTCCGGAGAGAAGTTAGTGCGCGGACGTAGCGCTCCTCAGATTACTACGCCTCACAATATAGTACCCGTTTTATCCGCTGAGAAAATCGACAGTTACATTTCTGTGTTACTATACTTTGCAGTGTAACACGTCACGTAACTATATACATTTAATAGGGAACACTTGGAAGAGTTTGGTAGCTTCTAGCGGGAGCTACCTTTTGGTCCTATACAGTGACCAGAGGAGGCTGCGGTTGTGCTCCCGTTTTTGCTCCGTTTGCATGACAGAGCGCACGGACTAAGACCAGACAGGTACATATTAACTAGTCTAAGGTAAGGTAAGAACATATGTCAGTATGTAAAAACGGTGAACTATTCCTTTAAGATACATGAATTAAAAAAATCTTTAAGACATGCCTTATTCTTGGTAAGTTGACTAAAAATGGGGGTGTGGCAGAAATGACTTTGTGATCTCACCCAGTGTTTTCCGGAAGAGTTTTCACAATACTAGATAGACACAAGATCTGCAGCGACTGTTCTTAAAATGGCAAAAGACAAGCACAAGGCCTTGAAGCTACAAAACATAAACATTGCATTATACGACATTAGTGTGTTATGTTATTGATAAGCCGTATATGCAGCCCTTACAAAACAGTCAACGCCTAAAGTTTATTTTTGTCAGTATTGTTCATGTTTTGACTCCTCTTTTATGCGTCATGAAGGTCACAAAAGTGGAAGAAGGAAAAGAGGTATGACTCTAGTGTTGGAAAAACAGAACTTGTGTGAGGTTGTGCGTCGTGACCGTAGTTCTGCTTTCGATCACACAGAGGTTTCGGATTGCAACTTCATGACAAACTTGTGACTTTTGGGGTCGACAAACTCCTCTCCCAGCGCCAGGAAGGGCAGCGGTGTCACGCTGACCACCAGGGAGAAGTCTGGCCGCTTCAGGGAGAACACCAGGCCCTGGCGCAGCGCGGAGGTCACGGCGTCTTCGCTCACTAAGGTCCACTGGCGCCCCCTGCCGTGGTCCAGGTACTGCAGGGTGGGGCCCAGAGCCAGGTACCGCTCCAGGAAGGCCTACAGACACAGACAGACGAGGAGGTCAGGCCGGCTTTAAAGTGCCGTGTACTGTTCACTGTTCACAAGGCACCACAAGTTTTAAGAGAAATATCTGTATGACCAGAACCAGAAAGAAATATTACCTCATACACCACTCAAGGGTTAGCATTAGGTTATTTCAGACAATGTTTAGAGTTCTAACCACAGACTATATTAAGTACTGACGTCACCATAGTGTTTGCCAAAAGCAGAAGCCGGTTTTAACATAAGCTAGCTGAAGCCTATTTCCTTATATGGATTGCAATTTACTAAATGCTGCCATGAGATTTTTTTATTTATTTGACTGTCATCCGAGCTTTCTTAAAATCCACACATCTGTGCATCAAGTTCGCATTGCTCTATCATTGGCTTCATCTGCTCGAATAAGGCAATGCATCATGGGGGATGTGGCACTACCCGGATGTAGCTAAAATACTAGTTCCGGGTGAGTTTTGGGGTTAGCAGCGAGTGGCTAACTTCAAGCATGGGCCAATGAGTACAGGCTAGAGACTTGAATGGACAGATATCTTGGATCAACCAGAGTCTGATTATTTGCCTAAAATTAGTTTGAATAGGAAAACCGTGGAAAGAATTATAATAAAATAAATAATGTACTCCACTTTCAGCAGGTGCTATAGCTTGCAGATGACTCCTAAGTAACCAACAACAAAAAACAGTTATAATTTCAGTGTAGTGTACCTTGGGTGTCATGTTGTGTGTGATGCAGAACTGCAGGTGGTTGATGATGCTCTCCATAGTGTGGTAAGACTGCTGCCTAGTGGCCCGGAGGTACTTCTGCATGGCCCGGGCCATCGGGGCAAAGATGGCCTGAGCCGCCTCCCGTGGGTCCATCACCTCCCGCGGGTGTTTAGGGGAAGAGGGTGTCGGCTCATCCTGGTGCCGCTTTATGTGAGTGAAGGCTTCCTCTACTGCCACCACCAGCCTGGAGGAGGACATGACAACCTGAAGCTCCAGCAGATTTAAACATGGACGTACAGTATGTGGCAGGTCTGATGAAACTGAACTTCCTCTGTTCTTGTCATCCTAGTATTTTTGTTTATGCAATGTGGGACCCCATTTATAAGCTTTGCAGAGCTTTTCAGGGAGTCAATTTTTCACAAGTCACAAAGATACCCACAGAATGTAATGTATTCAATATCTGTGGTGATGTGAAATTTTTTTTTATGAGTAAATTTATTATTACAGGGTTGTGGTGCCTCGATAATAAATTTTAAAGTTGATTTCAGTACTAGAAAAAATACTGGAGACCAATTTCGAAACCAAATCAGTTATTTGGGATGTAAATAGTACCATGAAATATTGCAATAATGGAAACACTATGAGGTTTAAAAGTTTCCACTGAAAGTTGAAACATTGTCTAGTCTAAGGAGTTACTAAACTAGTGTCTGTCTAGTTCCTAATGCTTTGCCAATCCATGGGTTTCCAAATGAAGATACATTTGGGCTGTTGCCAAATACACAAAAATTATATCTTACGGATGGGGAAGAAGTTGTGAAAATGTCCAATATAAGAAAAGTGAAACTTATTATTCTAAAGTTTGTGCAAAGGTATATTTCGGATCATTTTGAGTGCGCAACCCACCTGGCCTTGCGTTTGCGGACCCTCCTCTCCATCTCGGCCTCTTCGTAATAATACTCGTTGTGAGAATTGTCCCGTCTCCGTGCGGCGGCTGCGATCATGGCGCGGGACTGTCCTGTGGAGTTCCCCGTGCTGTTCTCTGACACAAGCAAACGATAGCAACATGACGACGCGGTGGATCAACCAGAGTTTAACATGAACTTTATGTAAACATCAGGAAAGTTTGATTTCATAAAGCTGGTCACAGATTTATGAAATTATTTATTTTGGAATGAATACTAGGAATAGTGGAACGCAGGGGTATAATGCAAACGAGTGCAAGACAATATGGGGGAAAAAAAATCATTAAAATCTTTTCCCCATATATTGATCCATTTCGATATCCGATTAGATGTTTTATACTTTCATTAAAAAGAAAACATTACTGGTAAGACAAAATACCTCTTGATTGATAAACTTTAGCACCAGGTCAGAACGTATGAGTAGAGGTAAAAACGCAGGCTATCAGTCTCCTGCTGTTCCCAGAGGTCTCCCATTACAGTACTAACCAAGCCTTGCCCTGCTTAGCTTCAGATACAGGTCTAGAGAGACAATCATAAAACTATAATATACTACTGGCTTTTCCAGGATTAGAAAATGTTGCTGACATTTATAATTCCACTTCCTGTTTGAACATGAGTTATAGATTTACACACAAGTTATTTTTTGACAAATGAATTATTTTGGTAGTTCCTCTGCTATTTACAATTTTAGGTTGTCACTGAATGTGTCCTGTCACTTTGCCATCCATCCATCCATTTCTTCCGCTTTATCCGTTGCCGGGTCGCGGGGGCAGCAGTCTAAGCAGAGACGCCCAGACTTCCCTATCCACACACACTTCCTCCAGCTCGTCCGGGGGGACCCCAAGGCGTTCCCAGGCCAGCTGAGAGACATAGTCCCTCCAGCGTGTCCTAGGTCTTCCCCGGGGCCTCCTTCCGGTGGGACGTGCCCGGAACACCTCCCCAGGAAGGCGTCCAGGAGGCATCCTGAACAGATGCCCGAGCCACCTCAACTGGTTCCTCTCGACGTGGAGAAGCAGCGGCTCTACTCCGAGCTCCTCCCGTGTGACCGAGCTCCTCACTCTATCTCTAAGGGAGCGCCCAGCCACTCTGCGGAGGAAGCTCATTTCGACCGCTTGTATCCGCGATCTTGTTCTTTCGGTCATTACCCAAAGCTCATGACCATAGGTGAGGGAGGGAACGAAGATTGACCGGTAAATCCTCTTTACCACAACGGTCCGATACAGCGACCGCATCACTGCGCACGCTGCACCGATCCGCCTGTCAATCTCACGCTCCATCCTTCCCTCACTCGTGAACAAGACCCCGAGATACTTGAACTCCTCCACTTGAGGAAGGACCTCTCCACCCACCTGCAGAGGGCAAGGCACCTTTTTCCGGTCGAGCACCATGGCCTCGGATTTGGAGGTGCTGATTCTCATCCCAGCCGCTTCACACTCGGCTGCAAACCGTCCCAGTGCATGTTGCAGGTCCTGGTTCCCCGAACCGGACCCCCTCCGGCCCCTGGCTGCGCCTAGAAATTCTGTCCATAAATACAGTGAACAGAACCGGTGACAAAGGGCAGCCTTGGCGGAGGCCAACATTCACCGGGAACAGGTCTGACTTATTGACGGCAATGCGAACACAGCTCTGACTCCGGTCATACAGGGACCGGACGGCCCTCAGCAGAGGACCCCGGACCCCGTACTCCCAGAGGACCCCCCAAAGGACACCCCGGGGAACACGGTCGAACGCCTTCTCCAAATCCACAAAGCACATGTGGACAGGTTGGGCGAACTCCCATGAACCCTCGAGTATCCGATGGAGAGTATAGAGCTGGTCCAGTGTTCCGCGACCGGGACGAAAACCACACTGCTCCTCCTGGATCCGAGATTCGACCATCGGCCGTAGCCTCCTCTCCAGTACCTTGGAGTAGACCTTACCGGGGAGGCTGAGGAGTGTGATCCCACGATAATTGGAACACACCCTCCGGTCCCCCTTCTTGTAGAGAGACACCACCACCCTGGTCTGCCACTCCATTGGCACCGCCCCCGATCGCCACGCGATGTTGCAGAGACGTGTCAGCCAAGACAGTCCTACAACATCCAGAGACTTTAGATAGTCAGGACGGATCTCATCCACTCCCGGCGCCTTGCCACCATGGAGGCTGCCAACCACCTTGGTGACCTCGGCCAGGGAGATGGAAGTATCCACCCCAACATCCTCAGCCTCTGCCTCCTGGACGGAGGACGTGACGGGCGGATTGAGGAGAACCTCGAAGTATTCCTTCCACCGTCCGACAATATCCCCAGTCGAGGTCAGCAGCTCTCCACCCGCACCATACACGGTGTTGGCAAAGAACTGCTTCCCCCTCCTGAGGCGCCGGACGGTTTGCCAGAACCTCTTTGAGGCCGACCGATAGTCATGCTCCATGGACTCTCCGAACTCCTCCCAGTCCCGGGTTTTTGCCTCTGCAACAGCCCGGGCCGCGGCACGCTTGGCCTGCCGGTACTGGACAGCTGCCTCCGGAGTCCCACTTGTCACTTTGGATAACAGCCATACTCAGTTGCAAAGTTTTGCGGTTATCGTGTCTTCAAAAGAGATAAAATTTTACTGTGTGAAATAAAAGCTCCTGAAACATGGACAGAAACCTCAAACTTTCACAAACTTGAGGCTATCCTATTAAACAAAATAATCATTTCAGATCTATGGGCCAATGTGGCTCAGCAAAATGTGGCACAAAACACCTCTTCTGTCTAAATTCTCAAACTCAAAATGTTTCACATTTTGAAAAAGAGCTGCGTGTAAAGGCCTTCTTCTACCAATAGATGGACTTATTTCACTACTCATAATAATTACATCCTTTATACATGTATTTTCAAATGAACTATGATAATTTTATTTCACATTCTCAAACAGGAAATAGCAAAGCAAATATTTTAAAGATTATATTTTGGGTTTCTAGGAGCCTGCAAGGAACCCACACATGTGAATAAACAGACGTGGCAAGTTAGTATTTGTACTTAAGTACTTTTCCTGGTATCAGTTCCTGGTATCACTATGGTTTAAACCGAATTAGTCGGCGGTAGTTTGCATTGGAATCCTCACTGACCACAGGCTGTATCATGACCAAGAGCTGTATTCTGTTCACTGAGGCCACACAATTACAATATTTTTGACTTGAATTGCGATTTAGTAAAAGTAATAAGACTTCTAGTTGATGAACACATGAACCTCTTACACTGTTCCAGGGTTAGCATTAGGTTATTTCAGACAACGTTTATAGACTTCTAACCATAGACCATGTACAGTATTAGGAGTGGACTGACCTCACCGTGTTTGCAGAAAACCGATTTGAAAATGGTCTAGCTGAGGCTAAATTGCCTTATATGGATTGACTGTCTTTGCAATTTACCAAATGCACCCATGAGAATTGCTATTTTGATTTGACCCTTATCCTACATTTTGTTTTTCTTCTTGAAATCCACCAGTTTTCCATATATCCACACATCTGTGCATTTCCTGGTATTAGTTCTTTACTTTTTAAACTGTATTAATCGACGGTCGTTTGCGTTGGAATCCTCACTGACCACGATATGATGTTGGTATAATATAGTGTTTCAAAGCTTAAAATAATATCAATACATAAAATAATCCATAAATGCAGTCTAAGTTTATCCTTAAGTACACTGATACCAAAGCGTGTACTTTTATACTTTTACTGGGGTTTAGTGGGGTTACCTTCTCCGAGGCTGTAGATCTTGAATGCGGAGGCTTTTTTGGACAGGATGGACTTGGGCAGGTTTAAAACAGCCGGATTGTGAACGGGGAAGTCGCTGTAGTAATGGTCCAACACCCAGGCGGCGGCTCTCTGGATGCTAAGGCCACAGAGGAGGGACGTGTTAGAGGTTAGGTGAAAGTGCTCGTTATACAGTCTAATCAGGAAATGCGTCTCTGTAATGGGGAGAAGTGTGGACTCTGTGGGAGCTGTGCTGGAGAGAAGGATGAGGGCTCTAATACAGGGCATCCTGGGTAACTCCAGACACCCTCTATGGCTGCAGCACTATGGCTGCTCAGAGGAGAAATCAAAGCAACAGGCTCCTATCACTACACTGCCGAACGGAACGTTTCAAGGAGATCCCTTGTTCCTTCTGACTGACTGTACAACAAAAAAAAAAAAGAGTCTTCTGTTGCTGGACACCTGAATTTCTCCTACGGGGGATCAATAAAGTATCTACTGTATCTATCTATCTATACTGTCCGACAGAACTTCTGACAAACTTGTGCAAAGGATGTGGTGGAGGTGGAGTCCATGAAGCAGAAAAGCGAGAAGCACTAAAAGCAAAAACCTCAGCCGCAAAACCTCATCACACTACAAAGATGAGATGACACGTTTTATATGGGCCAACGAGTCCATGGGAATGAACCGTGTAGCACAAAATGTATGCGATGTTATTGTAAGGAGAGATTTGTGAGTTTCAAATAAAAATTGACCTAATACCACACTACACTAATACATTTTAAGGGTTGGATCATCTCGTCATCACGGTGCACCATTCTTTTCTGCTTAAATCATAGCCTGTTTGTGTCTTAGAATATGACTAATTATTGGTTCATTCCGGCAATTATGACTCTGATTCTTTACTGGGAAGAATCAGCAGTTCAAGAAATGATGATTTTGTGATATTTCTCAACAACCATGCAACTTATTGGGCATAAATGTGTTATCAGAATACCCTAATGCTTACTTCAACCATCTACCGATTCTAGAAAACCGAAATACACCAGAGTTTCATGAGAACATTGGCCTTAAAATGAGAGATTTGAGAAATGTTTTCTTATAAATGAACATAAACCACACATGTGTATCTATGTTCAATATGTGGCACAACAAATCCATGATAATGTGGCTTATTAATATGGATGTACTCAAAATATTGATCCAGTGGTGATGGACTTTATGGTGATACATGCATTTAAAACAAACCAAAAATCCAAAAATCTTCATGAAATCTTTAAAAACCTGATGCTCATTGGTGAAAGGCGTGAATCTGTAAGATGCTCAAAAAAACAAATCCAAGGCACTCTATTAGAGCCTTTGTGATATGGCTATGTTTAAAATGTTTAGATATGGACGTGTTTCAGCCAAACATGGCCCTTCTCTGGCTTGTAAAATGTGTCTGAACCTTTAACGCCGAATCACCTCATCATGATGAAAACAAACGTTGCGCTTCCACCCCCCGGAGTGTTTGTGAAGGAAGATTTATACGCGACAAAAAGATGGAGAAGAGTCCAGTATCTCATCGAACAGTTCTGGAGTCGCTGGAAAAGAGAGTATCTGCTCAACATATCCACAAGACAGAAATGGCACTTACCTCAGCGTAACCTCAAAGTCAATGACATTGTCATTATCAAAGACGACAACCTCCCACGAAACCATTGGCAACTAGGACGAGTGGTGGAGACTGTTCAAGACCATGATGGCTTAGTCCGTCGAGTCAAAGTAAGAGTTGGGGAGAGAAAGCCTCAAAGAAAGCAAGATGCACCCTCCAAACCCTCAATTATTGAGAGACCAATCCAAAAACTAGTACTACTCCTTGAGAATTAAATGATACAAATTAAGATAAGACAACAATAGTTACGTATGCACTACTTTATTGTATGAAGTACACTCACCTGTATACCTCTGATAGTTCTAAATAGAGGCATTCATTTATCAGAGTAGGGAAATCCTGTACAATTCACTTGCTTTGTGTATTTGTTCATTCATTGTATCAGGATTTGGTGGGAGTGTAAATGCCAGTGAGGCTATTTTATTTTACGCCCTTATTTTGAAAGGCACCGCTCTTCCTGTTCTTTGCGTCGTTACTTCTGGTTCCGTTCTCAGTAAAACGACACTGCTACGCTGTTTCAGAGTCGATATAAACTTTTACTCTTTGGGATAGGTATGTAAAACATGTACTTCATTTGCCTGTCGTATGCAGTAACTTTTGGAGAAATTATTCATTGCAGTTGAAATCGTTTTTCTTTGTTTTCCTTTGTATATGCATGTCTTTTGTTTGCCATGTGGAAAGATTGGCTATGAAAAGTGCATGGAGGAGGCTGCTAGCGGTTTTAGCAAGATTAGCGCCCTTGGAAGCAGAAAGAGGTTGGTGCAGTGATTAAAAACGGTTGTTTATTTATTTAAGAAATTTAAAGGTGGTCTTTATTTTATTTTATTAAAAGCTGTAACCTAAATAGTTTAAAGGTGTTGATTTCATGTCAATATTACGATTTGTGTTCAACTATTTTCTATGATTTGTGATAAAATGATGGCATTTATTTGTGCACTTTTATAGTTTTCACGGTGCCATATTGTCGGCGACAGAAAGAGGAGAGAATTAAAGTTGCATCAGTCGAAGCTCTCTGCATCTTGAGTGGTGATTCCAAGTGGGCAGCTACAATAACCTTGTTGCAGGCCGGGGTAATGCTCAGCCTAATTGCGCGTTCAGACCGGATCATACGTTGCGTCGGGTTTCAATGCAAAGTCTATGGTTTTGGCACGGACCTCTCGGCACGCACGGACGGACTGTTCAGTAGACACGCACGGACTTGGCGGGAAAGTCAAAGGGGAGGAGCAGGAGCGAAAAATCGACGCCCACAGGAGATGGATTCTGCTCATCCTTTCCTTGGGACGTTCCTGCGACAACCAATCAGAGAGCCTCAAAGTGGTCACGGGGACATTAGCAGACTGAGCGAGCAGACTGAAAATACTCGTAAACAGCCAAAACAGGACCCACACCAGGCTTCACCAGAACTCAAACCAGGGTTGACAATGGGGGACTGTGTGCTTGTGAAAATATGCGTTGTCATGCTCCCGTGACCTTATGCCACTGCTTCGAGTGTGTTCACTGATGCGGAAATACCGTTTAATAATATGAAAAAATGGCGCGTGAACACATACTACTGTTGTATAAAGCCCGCGGAAAGTCTCTGTTCAAAGACACACTGCAAAGCTGCATATTGGGGAAGATCTGTACACAAGAAGCCGCTAGCATAGCTCTTTTAGCATCAGAGCCAACCGGCTACTTCCGGCACTTCCGGTGCGCGTCAGGACATCTCTGTGTGAAGACCTCTGCGTCTGAAAACTAGAGAATGCGCTTCAGAAAGTCTTCCAAAATGTACAAGCCTATATCTCTGGCTAAGGTCATAAACCAATTATCTTCAGTCGAATAATCTATTGAATAATCTTTTTTGAGGTCAAGCATACACTTCGTTAACATCTCGCTAACTTCCGGTTTAACATGTGTCAAGTTAATCAGTTCAGTTAAGACTATAGGAAAGGGACAGTGGACAGTAACATTAAGCTCAGATAAATTCGGCACCAGATTATAGCTTGATAGCTAATTTCCGTCTGCAGTCCCTGGGTATATGTAAGAAAGAAAAAAAATACAATGCAATAACATAACAAAACAATACAGTAACCATACAATAACATAAACAAAAACGCACACTAATAACTCACAGATACTAACCATAAAATCAATACATCCATTTCAGATCCAGTCCACAGTAACATAATCTCACACATATTTACAAGATGTCATAATTTACACAATACATCATTTATAGTGGGGGATATAAATGATGTATAGCATAGCAGATTTGTTTGCTCCAAAGCCACTTTTTAAAATCCACTGTGAATATAATGTAGTCCTTGTATATACCCAGAACTTCCTGTAGAACGCTTCAAAATAAAACAAATAAAATACATAGACTGTGGTAGATGTTTAACTTATTACCACCATGGTGATAATAAGTTACTCACTTAATGAACAAATTGTACTTTTAACTATATGTATGTAACGGCATGCTTTTAATCCTTTTTAACTCTAACTTACATTATGAACTCTAAAGATTGGGTTCAATCGGTCCATGTGCTCAAATAAATAATTTTTTTCTTAGTGTAAATGTATAATGTAAATGTGATGTATTTCTATGTCTAAGGGACCAGGTCTGCAAACTAACTGTAAGCAATAAGGCCGATGAACATAACATCGGTTCCTGTAACAATGCCTCTTGTTCTGTCCCTATCAAATAAACACATAATAATAATAGTGACTAAATCAGACAACTAGACTGGGACAGGACTATGGAGCTCAATTATCATGATTATCCAGTGTAAATTGGTTGCATATATATTAATTTATTTTAGCTATCACCATGGAGATTAGATCAATACAATACAATAACATGGAACATTCCAGTCTCTAAATAGGCAACGTTCAAAGTACTTTTTTCAGATTTCGTCTCTGGTCTCTGCTTTTATTGGATGAAAACAAACATAAATAGTGGAAAGCGTGAGTTTTTGTGACAGTAGAGCTAATTTTCTTTGTGTAAATGGAAGCAATTATCTCTATTATCTTGTGTAGCTTGGCTTAGTTCTATTAGACTGACATTTAGGAAACTATGACTTGTCTAATTGTTTAAATAACCATTTAACAGCCAGTCGGAGCAGGTGGGCCTCACACAGTCAAATATACGCTCTAAAAACAGCTGTGAGTTTGTTAATGACAAGGGATTACTACAGTAACATATTTCATATTCACTCCTTAAAGAAAGCAATGTATATTTTTCTTTTTTGGATTTTCTAAAATGAAGACGCACTAATAACATAAATAATGTTGGTTTTTTTTAGTTTGTTTTGTTTTTTGTTTAGTTTTTTTTATAGGCTTTTACCAAATCGTTGAGATGCAGTTTGATGGCAAAAGGTCCTCAAACCAAGTGAGATACCCCAAAGAGGTATAGTTCACTATCTACTTAAAGTAGATATAGTGACTCAAAGGGTGATCAATCAAATGGTTGGGGAAACCATTAAAAAGTTATAGTGGAAAAAGTAATTTATCCCAACGCTAAAGCTGGGGTACTTAACTTTCTTTCCAATAATACATAATGTGTGTTGTTTGAAAGAGTCTTGTGGAAGTAAAATGTTGTGAACAAATCCAACCACAACATTGTTTTATTAAAAAACAAGTATCTTATGTGTAAGAAAGAGCCCTCTCGCGGAGGACGGATTGGCTTATCAGTTGTAGCAGTAGAAGTCGTATTAGTAGCAGTAGCAGTTGTAGCACTAGCTCAGCATAGATAGTAGTAGCAGTAGAAGGTATTGGTAGCAGCCATAGTAATTTTTGTCCTGCGATAGTAGCTGCAGTAAGCAGCAGTAGAATAGTACAGTATGAGTAGGAAGAAAGAACAGATACTTGGGGGTGTGTGTGTGTAATTGTGAACAGAAGGGCCAAAATGAACTGAAAACTAGAAGAGAGAAGCTTTCTGCATGGTATTGTTCCTTCGGTCTGTTCTTTCTTTTCTATATTCGTCATATGACACGCATGGTTTAGTAGTAGTACACCAGGGTTGGGGATTGGATGATTGAGGCACATTTTGTTTCCCAGCGAGGTTAAATGGCAAGTACAAAAGAAGGCGCGCTCCTCTCGCGGCCCGCCATAATCCGTCGCCTTGTGTATAAAGAGCGTATAGTATATATTACATTGTTGTGACCTACGCCGGGTACCTTACCTGATGGGAGTATCGTGTTGTTATGAAACTTTTATGAAACTCTGTGTGGCTTTGAAGTCAGCCCCAGAGAGATCCAAGATCTATAGTGCCAGAACCGCACTGTCTCTGCTGAGCATAAGGTGCAGCTGCTTACTGTTCGTACTGCTTCGACGGCCCGCTGGTACTAGCGGCCGCGTCTGCAACGGCTGCCACTGGCGTCTGCTACGACGACTACTAATACATTCACAAAAACGTAAGACACAATGTCTGTAGTCATAGTCAGATACAGTCCATTCA